CTGTCGAACACAGGCAAATTCCATTCCCTCCTCGGAAACGTTATCTGTCCTCTCACGTGGCCAAGTGCACCTGAGCGTCAGAAACATACGATTGTGGGTTGTTTTTCACCATCACACCCGTCCTCGTCAGACGTGGATTTCATCGAAGTGGCTGTCCCCGTGCCTTCACTGAGTATTGCCCTGGTTGGCCACGTGCTTACACTGAACATGACATTCATCCATCGAAACAGATTCCACAGGGCGTCACAGGGCAGTGAAAATTACCGGAATCATTAGTGAGTGAGTAAGTGAATATGGTTTGACAATATCCCAGCAATATCACGACGGGGGACGCCAGAAACAGGCTTCACACATTGTACCCATGTAGGGTATCCTCCCATTACCCCTACATCTCATTACCCCTACAGCTTATAACAACAAAGTTCACGGTCCAATGCACTGCTAATCCCCTTCCTGTTACCTGTTACCTGGACAATGGACTAGCCCAAACACATGAACACAAGATTTAATGTTTTAATTTATGGATTTAATTACACAAATAAATGAATATAATACACAGATATCTTCCTGGTCGTGACATGAATATGAGCAGCAGGTCATGTTAACTTTTTAATGTTAATTTTTGTCTTTTAAACAAGTCTCTATCCCAATTTGAGGAGATGGCCCACAGCGTCAAGGAACTGCATTGGTGTTTTCAGCCCAAGATTGAGCTGCTCCTTGAGGCGGCACAAACGATGCTCCATCTCTCTGTACACTCTCTTTCTGCTTCTCTGTGCTGCTCCAAAGTCTATCTGGGAAATGTTCGCTCTCTCAGCGTGTTCAACTTTCCTGATCACCTCCACAAATCGGTAGATGTTTGGGTGTCGATGTGGGAGTCCCCGGTTCAGGCGGTTGTGGAATCCCTCTAGGTTTTTGTTTGTCCTTGGACCTGTTGTTGAGTGATGGTTCCACAGTGGCAGACGGAATCTTGCGTCGTCGTCGACCCAGGTAGTCACCATGTAATCGTTGAAGGTGGCCGCTCTTGTTCCATCGGGAGCGTCGTCCATGGCGTCAATCCACGTGTCCTGGATACTGTTCTGGGGTAAAAGGGGTAGTCCAGCCGCTCTTCTTACCCATCTGGATATTTCCAGATCCTCTCTGTAAGCAACAGCACTTTAATCGCTCCCATGGGTAAGTTCATTATGCCAGACAGGTAAATGCCGTGTGTTGTTTTAACTAATTGTAGGGGTACTGGGATGTAGGGGTAATGGGATACAACCCCATGTAGGGAATCAAACCCGGGTCTTCAACATGAAGACCGGGTGCATTAACAATTAGGTTACCCCATCGCCCCGTTAATCATGAGTGTTACTATGTGTTCGTGAACAGGGTAAGAACGCAAGGTCTCCAACAGCACCACGCTAACATTTGGCCCAAAAAAGTAATCTTTTACTCTCACTGATAGGTCTGATAAACAGCTACTATTCAGAAACGTTGCGCCGAGTAGCCATTTCACATCTGAGATAAGTCTCCACCCGCACGAGCACTACTTCGTCGACCTTGACCTTCGACCGTTGTGATTCAGCAACATAGGGCCGAGTCACGTTACGCAATCGGTAAGAGTGAGAGATAAGTCTCTTCGACATTGTGTTAGGAGCTGGTGAGAAACATGCCTCAATACAAGCTGATTTACTTTGACTTTCGTGGACGAGGTGAGCTGTCTCGCTTCCTCTTCGCACTGGCGGGGCAGGAATATGAAGACGTCAGACTAAAGTATGAAGACTTTCCTGGGATGAAAGACAGTGAGTAGTTAGTGAGTGAGTCAGTGGACAGGTGAAGTTATGGGTAGGTAGCAGGGTGAGTGTGCGAGTGTACGAGTGTGCGAGTGAGTGAATAGTTTTCACGTCAAAATTACCCCTGGGGGGCTCCGGGCACATTACATCCTTCTGATCCGTGAAGATCCGGGTTAGAATTGATCGTCAGCAACCCAGCCTTGTCGTAAAGTTCGACTAACGGGATCGGGTGGTCTAGCTAGCTGACTTAGTTTTAACACATGTCATCGCATCCAGTTGCGTAGATCGATGCTCATGGTGTTGATCACTGGATTGTTTACAGACTCCATTATTTTCAGACCGCCGCCATATAAATATATAGTTTGAATATTGCTGAGTGCAGCATTAAACAACAAACAAACAAACAAACAAACAAACATCCTTGCTTGTCGAAAGAGCTGACTCACGAACACAAACAAATGATACTGTGGGACTTCTCCGACTGTATCCTTATATGGCCGATGATGACCAAAGTGTTCATATCTCGGGGCAAGCGCAGTTAAGCTGCCGAACATAAAACAGGTTCTGGGCTACAAGAAGTGGTAGGAGGTGATGTACCAATCAAGGGAAATAAATTTCTACTTGAGTCCTTGCGCTTGTGAAGCAAACCTCGACTAACATGAGGAACAGGAATATACTAGGAGGTCAATCGGGTCAAACTGGGCGTCAGTGATTGGGTGGTTGTTGGTGATGGTGGGTGGATGTGGTGATTATGGGTGTGTGTGTGTGTTGGTGATTGTGAGTGATTTGTGTGTGTGTGTGTGGGTGATTGTGTGTGGTGGTGTGGGTGATGGTAGGTGTGTCTAGGTGATTGTGTGTGGGTGATTGTGTGTGTTTGTGGGTGATTGTGGGCGGGTGTTGGTGGGTGTGGGTGATTGTGGGTGGGTGTTGTTGATTGTGGGTGTGGGTGGTTGATTGTGGGCGGGTGTGGGTGATTGTGGTCAGAGTGGGAGATTGTGGGTGGGTGTGAGTGATTGTGGGTGGGTGTGGGTGTGAGAGATTGTGGATGGGTGTGAGTGTGAGAGATTGTGGATGGGTGAGGGCTAGTGGGGTTCAAAGAATATGTTCCAGTAATTCCCCACTACCAACAGAACCGGCACAACCACCATTAATCATATAAACTTATTAACTGCGAACAATAACTCATTATAATGTAAATATATACAGATTAGTAGTAAATACTTAATGAATGGCAAGCAAATAAGTTAATATAACAGTGTTATTATCTATGTGTAAATGTCTACATACATAATGGTTTTAGATTGGTATGATAAACATGTCTAAAAACACTCTTAATGTCTGTCGGTAAGAAGACGTGACCTCTTCACTTTGTGGTCATCGAGTTTCCCTTTCGTGAAGATTGACAGTAGCAATAAAACCAAACGAATGGAATTCATCAGCCGACCCTTCATTAAACCAGAACAAATTTAGTAATAAATGCCTATACATGGAAGTCTTATATAAGACCATCTGTTCTGATTCACGTGGAAAGGAATGTCATTGAACTGTGTTTGGGGTAGCGTGTATGTTGAGACACAGTTGATTGGGTCAAGCAAACAGACACTTGACCCAAGGACAATGGGCGAGTCGGGTCTTTAGAAAAAAACACGTTCTTTTCAAGGACAGGTTAACTTTTTTAAAAAAGGTCTATAGAAACTAGGGTGCCACGTCTCAAAGGTAAACTGGGTGGGACTTGGCAGAGTGACGGGCTGAATGTGTAATCTGCACTATGACTTCTGCTGAGACAGTGTTTTCTCTTTGATCCTAAATGGGGTGAAATACTCTGTTACAGAAATGACAACAGATGTGCATTAATCGTTTTAATTCAATTTTTTGGTACAAACTGAAAGAAATATTCGTATTCAGACATGTCTCAAGAAAAAGTGTTTCTGTCCCGGGGTTCAAAACAAGTACAGACTGATACGTATCTTTAATGTTGGTTTGTGTATATCGCTGGGTGAGTGAGTGAGTAAGTTTAGTTTTACGCCGAAGTTTTATATGGCGGCGGTCTGTAAATAATCGAGTCTGGACCAGACAATCCAGTGATCAACAGCATGAGCATCGATCTGCGCAATTGGGAACCGATGACATGTGTCAACCAGGTCAGCGAGCCTGACCACCCGATCCCGTCAGTCGCCTCTTACGACAGGCATAGTCGCCTTTTGTGGGTTGCTGAAGACCTATTCTACCCCGGATCTTCACGGGTCTTATGCCGTTTCGACTTTCGTGATTTCTTATCAGTTTTTATACGTGTACAACCAGGACAAGTTCTGATCTCTTTCTGTGTCTGGCCATGATGATTATTGAGTGAATGGGTGAGTTTAGTTTTACGCCGCACTCAACAATATTCCAGCTATATGGCGGCGGTGTGTAAATAATCGAGTCTGGACCACACAATCCTGTGATTAACATGATGATTAGTATGGTTATTTGGTGGTGGTAGCGGTTACTGATGTGAAGATTCGTGACTTGGGGACACCTTTCTTCTAATAGCCTTATTATTAACGCGTGTAATATAATTATTATATCTTACCTTCGTGTAAAATACTTTAATTTCATTGGCCAATGACGCTTTCACAAGTTTATGTGTCAACCCTCCCAGGAAGGTGACAATTGGAAAAAATATTACCCGCTGCCACGGTAACCCCAAATCCTCCGCCGAGAAGCTGTATTGCTTACAACCGTATGACGTCATAATATGACGCATACAGTGCACGGAGTTCGAAAACCGTTCGATCAGCTGTTTTTTTAGTTCACCATGTACACATTTATTTTACCGTCTTTTACTGCTTTGTTGAAACTACATGTATACTAATTAACAATCACTAAATAACTTAATTATCGTCCAATTACTGATCGCGATCAGCTGTAAAATTGCTGATGCGGTGTCAACCAATATTCATTTTCACTCACCGATTGTAGTACGTGCACAGTTTTCACTTAGACCATGGTGGCCATTACAAGACTGGCTTGATCGTTGTAGGGTATGTACTTATATCAACAGATATTAAGTGTCGATCTGTTCATATGTAAAAACATAAACAATTGTGATCATATCTTGAGCAGATATTTGTTTTAGCAGTATGACAGCTGTATGTCTGAACCAGACAATCCAATGATTCTAACCATGCGGTACGATGACAGAGAATTTGTTTACGAATCATTATGAAATAGTGATGATACAAGGTGTTAGCGACAAGGTGAGCGTATCCTGCCCCAGGTGACCCCCGTCATAGACATATGCTAAGTCTAGTCACATAATAAGAGCTAACATCACAAAATCTTCCACGAATGAAATTTCGGTTTCCTTGGATGTTTTCTCTTTAATTCCAGAGTACGTGTTCGGCAGACTTCCGGTGCTGGAGGTAGATGGAAAACAATACGGGCAGAGCATGGCCATCTCCAATTTCCTGGCGAGGAAGTTTGGTGAGTTGTACAGGCAGTATCTATCAAGACTCGTGAAGATCCGAGTTAGAATTGGTCTTCAGGGCCCCGTCCAACGAGGCGATCGTAACGCTACGACAATCGTAAATCTATGTCAAAGTATGGGAGTTACGATCATCTTTGCGCTACGACAATCGTAAATCTGTGTCACAGTATGGGAGTTACGATCATCTTAGCGCTACGACAATCGTAAATCTATGTCAAAGTATGGGAGTTACGATCATCTTAGCGCTACGACAATCGTAAATCTATGTCACGACAATCGTAAATCTATGTCAAAGTATGGGAGTTACGATCATCTAAGCGCTACGACAATCGTAAATCTATGTCAAAGTATGGGAGTTACGATCATCTTAGCGCTACGACAATCGTAAATCTATGTCAAAGTATGGGAGTTACGATCATCTTTGCGCTTTGAGGAACGGGTCTCAGCAACCCATGCTTTATGAATGACAAGTTCTTTATTATATCACATTTTGGCCAATACTATAATTATGATTGTTGTCTACGCGTGTAACTCGCCATGTGCTCGGGCAAATATTCCATTAAGTTAAAGTGTATTGGTTTTTGACCTAATACAATCTTGACACTTAACTCTCATAAAATACCCTACTTTTCATATTATTCATCAACTTATAAAATGTCAATGAAACAGATAACCCATGCCCAGTGAGAGGCGACTAACGGGATCGAGTGGTCAGCTTCGCTGACTTGGTTGACACATGTCCTCCTATTCCAGTTACGTAGATCGATGCTCATGCTGTTGACCACAGGATTGTCTGGTCCAGACTCAGTTATTTACAGATAGCCACCATATACCTGGAATATTACCTGAGTACTGCATTAAACAACAAACAAGCAGTACCTATCACAAGTGTCCAGTCAGCTGTTTTAAGCGGATAGGGCATCCGTTTAAATTCCAGATAATCTAGGATTGTTCGTTGCTATGAACAATGACAATGCTTGGCGCTGTAATGCAAAAAATCTTAGCCGAAACATTGCCGGTGAGACTTTGAGTCTAACTCACTGTAAAACATAACGGCAATATGGCATTTGAACATCCTTCATAGAGTTCTGGAACCCGTGAAGATCCGGGTATGAATTGGTCTTCAGCAACCCATGCTTGTCGTAAGAGGCGATTAACGGGATCCAGTGGTCAGGCTCACTGACTTGGTTGACACATGTCATCGCATCAAAATTGCGTAGATTGATGCTCATATTGTCGATCACTTGATTGTCTTGTCCAGACTCGATTATTTACAGACCGCCGCCATATTACTGGAATCATAGGGTTCTGGCACATCTCTCCACAGTTCATATGGATGACATGAGCACGCGATGTGATTTTGCTGAACTGATGCATGCTTTATCCAGGTTTCCATGGCAAAACTGATGTTGAAGTGCTAGAAGTTGATCAAGTTCTTGGAATTGTTTCGGACTTACGTGAAGCCTTGGTTCGATTTTTCATGGAGAAGGATGAAGCAAGAAAGGTGACGTTACCAAGGAACATGTTCTATGCTTCATAATGGAATCTGTGTTTGAGATAGTGAAGACTGTGTCTTCTTTTGCACTTAAGTTTCATACATTATTTTATGAGTTTTGAATGCTTTGAACAGTGAAGGGCGTATGGTGGAATTTCGAAATATAGTACACACCTGTCTTTTGTTTGTTTGTTGCTTGAAACCACACTAAGCATTGTTCCAACTATATGACAGTGGCTTGTAAATAATCTTGTCTAGATGCAGTTGGATTACGATGACAAGCATCAGAGCGTCTGACCACCCGGTCCCGTTATTCGCCTCTTACCACTATTAGCATGATTTGCTGAAGATCGGAGTCTGCATTCTCTGACTTCTAGATCGTGGAACAGACACATAATTCTACCAGCATCCGTGAATACATTGATCGGAAAGTCGGTGGTTCCTGGCAGCGTCGAACGAGTTGTTTTGGTTTCTTCTTAGGTAATAAAACAAGGGCTGAACGTTTGGAGTGCGCTGTGTGGAGTCTGTGTTGCATCTTATTGAAAATGCGGCTTGGTATGTCAGTGGTCTGGCACATTAAAATCGGTACTAGTCCCAAACACACGCACCACCTCATAAAGCATTAATCGTGAACACCGGATCAAACAGTAAACATTAGTTCATTTCACCTATTTAATTATATGTGATGGATATACTTTCTTCGTTTGCCTAATGCTTGTCGTCCCAAACACCGTTAAAGGTGTTGATTAGTGTATTTCAATTTCCTTTAGTCATCAATAACAATCTATTATTTTTGTATTTATTTTGTAGGCGGAGATTGCCAAGGAAAACAATGAAACGAACTTGCCAAGATATCTGGGCTTCCTTGAAACTGTGCTGAAAAATAACAACACGGGTTTCTATGTCGGCAACAAGGTAACACATCGGACATAAATTGCCTGGAAATTGATTGTTACGTATAAACATGGACATCTGATTTTAGCAAATAGTAACCAACGTTATCAAAACGTTACTAAGCTGAAACACTGGAAAGACATGGTCTAAAATACGACTTAAAGGCATAATATCACACCACATTTCTCTCAAAATACGAATGCATTTCTCTCACCAGCTATCAGCCCTCAGGGAAGCTACCATATGATTTATTCCAAAAACATTGACATATTTAGATTACAATATTACATTAAAAGTTCGAGTGAATTAATGCAACATTGCATTAAAACCGAACCCAACAGAGTTATGTCCATTAGAGCGCTCCTTATGAATATCCTACGTACAACTTGTGATTGAAACCAGTTCGGTAAACACCGACAACACCGCCTGCGACAGTTTTAGATGTACGGAGCAATTCTTCACATTCCATACATGACAACTGTTTCTGTTTGGAAGCTGTTCGCCTCGAAATTTCAATCATCGATTTCAGGCAAGTCGTTAGGAATAGATAGTCTTTTAATGCATCAATAGGAATCTAAAGTGAGGGCATATGCCCCCAATATAAAAAATATAGACCAAAATATTGTCGAAAAAGCGTGACATGCTTTAATGTGATTTTTCCAGCTTGGATATGCCGATCTGGCTGCATTTGACTTTCTGGATTCTGCTGGTTTTGATCAAAGCCTGATAGAACGTTTCCCATTGGTCAAAGCCAACGCAGAGAAGGTCAAGGCGAACGCAGGAATTGCCAAATGGTTGGCCAAACGACCGCAAACACAGTTTTAATGGACAGCCAGGAAAACGAACAACTATTTTCTTACTATTCAACACTTTAACTGGCACGCACGATGTCGATAACATGTGTTTGTATGAGCAAAGAAGCATCTCTGTGACTTATTGTTGGAATGGCGCAGATTGAAATAAAAGTATAAAATTCAGCTGTTCAATATAAATGTTTCTTGTTCAGAGTTTTCGTTTTCGAAATGATACCAGAGAATGTTTTGGTATTGTACACCTCGTGACATGTGTTCTATCGAAATACAATTGTATTCTAGGCTGTGAGGCCGAAATGAATACATATATCTGATATGTTTATATTAGGGATTTCACGATACAGAAGTTTCATGAATCGATACGTATCACGATACCCATGTCACGATTCGATACATATCACGATACCTATTTTCGCGGCATTATTACGTAAATTTAGTTACATTTTGAAAATTGATAATTCATATTTTATAATTGTCCATGAAAATATCAACATTTTTTATTCTCAGAGATTAAAAAAGTTCTAATTTCCCATCTTTGTGCATGAAAAATAATCATTTATAACTCTCATAACATCAAAACAATGCAAAATGTAAACGATACATAAACATATTTAAACCGATACTTTCAAAACTAACTATGGATACAGTTTTGAGTTGGGAACTCGAATGAAGAACCAAGGCTTATTATGACACACATGCTATCTTTTGCCATGACCTTGTACACAGAGACGTCCAAAGGCCTATTTAGGTTAAAAACAGTTCAAGATCTATACAACAGATTGCACGATGGTGACAGGGCACTTTCTCTGACCACGTCTGCACTCTTATCAACGTTATAAGGCCCACAAATAGACCTTGAGGCTAATGTGCACTCATACTTAAGATAATCGTTGAACTCAGGTCAGTTTGTGTGACGGAACCCAGGGCGGGATGTTCCGATTGCAGATTGCACTTGCAGAGCTAAACTAACGTACGCTCTAACTGAATAGAAGCGAGTGGGTGTGGCTGTGCGTCACATTTAGCAACATTCCAGCAATGTCACAACGGGGGACACCAGAAATGGGCGTCACACATTGCGGGCGTGTGGAGAATCGAACCGGGTCTTCGGCGTGACAAGCAAACACTTTAACCACCACACTACACACATTTGTCTGACACTATCGCCAGTGGAGGACACAGAAGTACTCAGGTTCAAGTTAAATGTCCAAGTTTTAGTGGCAACGTGTGTTTCTTATGTATATTTAGGGTAGCATAATGGTTAAAGCGTTCGCTCGTCACGCCAAAGACCCGGGTTCGATTCCCCACATGGGTACAATGTGTGAAGTCCATTTCTGGTGTTCCCCGTCCTGATATTCCTGGAATATTCCTAAAAGCGGCGTAAAACGATACTCACTCACTCACTCATGTTTGTTGGTTAACAACTCTGAGGAACAAGCCTGCTAAATGACGGTGGTATGTAAGTAATCGATTCTGAACCAGCAATTGAAACCAAGATCGGTACGATGACAAACATCAACCAAGCCAGCGAGCCTGACCACCTGATCCCGTTAATCGATTCTTACTACAGGCCTGGGTTGCTAACGATAGATTCTAAACCAGATATTCACCTGTCACAACTTGTTTCTTGGCGCGCTGTTCTTGACTCAAGGTGTGTGGAGACAACCCGACGTGTGACGATGGCGTCAACTGTGAACGGTCTCCCAACTAACAATTTCACGTTGTCACAACGTTATGCATCATTATGCTTGTTATTCTGTGGACTCCCATTTACGTTCTCACATTCGTTGTGATGCGTCATTTTTACCACAAGGTTAAAGTTATTTGATGCTAATGTATTTTAACTATTTAACGTTAATAGTTGAATAGTTTTCTAGGTAGTGAACAGTACATATGAAACAAAGCAGCAATCTACTTCAATGTTTATTCGTCAATTTGCATGTTGTCTTTTAGCGGCATTTAGAAGTTGTCATAGATGACCAAGATATTTTATGGATTTAAGCTTCTTTATTCTATGACACTGTGACACTATGACGTCCTTGTGGATTGTGATGTCACTTGCATTGTGACGTCATAACGCAGTTATGACGTCATAGTGTCGACGTCAGTAGTGTCAGCTGTCACTTTAAGCTGGGCCCGGTCTCGCATATCGCAAGTTAGAGCGCGCAAAGGGAGCCGGGAACCAGTTTAGTGTCACTTCACCTGATGAAGATATCTGTATTGATCCCGGAATGGTATGTTGGAAAGAATAAAGAAGCTTATATCCATAAAATATCTTGGTCAATTTGCATGTTGTTTTGGTCGTGTGTTTTCTGAAGCTGTAGCTGAATAGTAAAGAAAGAATCTCTGAAAGGTTTTACAGAAAACTCTATCGTGCCACCAAGTTATCAGAAACGTTGTTATAACGTTGCGAGGAGCACAAAGCATAACGTTTCCTCAGCATAAATTTGCAACGTTGCTATTACGTTGTGACATAACGTTATAAAATGACGTAATAATAACGTTGTGACAACGTTGTGTCATATGGTTATAAAATGACGTAATAATAACGTCGTGACAACGTTGTGTAATGACGTTATAAAATGACGTAATAATAACGTTGTGACAACGTTGTGTTGTGTCATGACGTTACTAATCTACAACCTTCCAACAATGTTCCTAAACGTTGTGTGTCAGCTGGGCTTCTGTTAGAGCTTCATTTAGAAAAATGAGGTCAAATGTTAGAAAGGGCCGGTGACAGAGTTTAACCAGTATACACCACCCCTGTTTTAGCCCGCTCGTATCCCAGAGAAGTGTAAATAACGTAACTACGTGACAAAGAAATTCGGTCAAATCGCCACAGGGTCGTTCAGAGTTGACTGAAATACGAGTAATAATTATGGAGCCACTCTAAGACGGTGTTTTGTATGTACCAGGCAAACAATCTGATCACAGTGATCACAAAATATTGTACTTACTTACTCGTGATGTAGTTTTGGCGTAAACTAACGACGTTTTTATCTGCCACGTAGGTGTTTAGGTCAGGTAGATCATATCTTTATCAACTGTGTGTAATGGCGATTTCACACGCCGCTAGAGTATGGATCGTCATTCTGTTTCTGATGCTGATTGACAGAAAATAAATGTTACATAAAGAAAGGCAGCTTACAGTCTTCACTATTAACTTGTGGTAATAGAAACGTTTAGACAGAGGAAGGTCATGGTCAACGCGTTTACACCGAAGAAATCGACGGAGCACGTTCACATCGTGGAAATAGATGTGTTGCGGTTTTTAGTCAGCCAGTTGTGTCACTTGCTCGGCCATTTCGACGCTTCATATATCTATAGTTATACAAAAACCAAAGACGTTTTTGGTCACCAACAACTTGAAAACTATTGGTTGGATTGTTTTTAAGGATAATAGTGAAAACGGACCCCAGCGAAAACGAGAAAACGGCCATTATATATACAGAAACAGAAACAGAAAACTACATGTAGTTTATTTTGCTTTAATCCATCTCTAAATCACTATTATAATAAGAAGGCAATAACAATGATAAGATAGTCATGGCAAAGTCCCGTTTTCACTTTCAAATTCCTCTAATTGAAATGTTGATGATGATATTTAATTTTTTTTCAGGAATAACAACAATTCACAATTTGTGTACAAATGTTTATGTGCTAAGTATTGATGTTCAGCTGAAGCTGGGTGTCACGGTCGGGGTTATTAGTATAGTGATCTTGTTCATACATTTTGCTTATATACACAAAGAACTTAATTAAGCACCCCTGCATTTTAGCAATGATAGGTTTTCAACACGTACATAAAATTCTCGTGGTGACCATGATGGAATAGCATGAGGTTTTCTGATTCGTATGAACCTTTGACTCATACAAAACGACAAAATGATTGGAATCCATGCTGATTTTATGATGATAATTGATTATTTTTTTAAAAACCCACTGGTTTTCAAACACAACCATGTCTGTACAAGTATGGAACTGGAATGTTTAATGTTGAATATTTTGGTGAATGTGAACATTCAAAATGTCACTTTGCGTGTCTTACACGATTCAAGGTCAATACCGAGTGTAACCTCCATGTGACTGTATGACAACCAGCACCCTCCTCCTCATAACCCCTGTCAGCCTCCTGATCCTCTGAAGGGCCAGTCTACGCCATTCCTCGTGTAAAACAGCTTCCAATTGGGCCAGGTTCTGTACATGAGGATCCCTTTGTTGTACACGGCGACCAATCTAGTCCCAGATACGCTCCAAAGGGTTATATATTAATTAGGATCGGGGCTCATTCAGTCGTGAGATATGTCAGGGGGTACTTAACTAGGTTCTTTGTGAATATTATAATTCTTTGTGTATATTATAATTATGCCTCATCCGCTAATCCCCATTGGCTCAGCACCAACTCCTCACGTCATATAAACGTGATATTGTGTCAAAGTCGTTTTGACACATTGTGCCTCTGCCCCAATTTCTGTCCATGATACGCGCGACATAATGTATAGAGTGGAAGCTGTCTAAACCGACACACGTCGGGACTGAATAAATAATCCGGTTTGAACAGCGTGCCGGAATGTAGAGCTGACATGGTTACCTACGACTAGAACTAAACCAGTTTTATCACTCTCATATACATTGTTGTATAAGTTGGTTCTCTCAACTCACTAATTACATGTACAAGTACACCCATACTGAACTAAGATTAGATTATCTTTGTTGGCAACCATGTAGTTTCAAGACAGGATTACTGACTCATTGCCACGCGCCGGATTAGACAGCGCTGATTACTGTATAAACACATATTCGGGCGGCTCATTTCATGTCGAGATCCGGAATTGACAGCTGCCGGATTACAGAGCCTTCAAATGATGATAAATGTACTAGCCATGGACGTGACTGAGATTTTACGCCGATATTGACAACTTGCCGGATTGGACAGCTGGCGGTTTTGACAGCTTGCACTATATATTGTTTGTAGGAGGCGAACCAAGATTCCGACATGGATAACATGAACATGCTGAACAATAAGAAAGACAATAAGACATGGTCCAATATTGAATGCAATATGTGAAGAAAACGTAAAGCTTAAGAATCGTTACGGTAAGAAAACGAGACCCTCCCCCCCCACACCCCCTAAACCGATTTATATTAACCACGCCAAAGCTTAAAAC